TTCTGCACGATGTAAGGTAGCAGCTTCTCGAGAGCAGGATTCTTCGACAGATGCCCACGAATCGCCTTACGAATCATAGTGTTCTTTCCCATAAGGATGACCGCATGACCTTTAGCAAAACCTTCGCTTATTCACAAAAACCTAAACTACTGGAGCAACCCAAGCGTTACACCAAGCTCACCTCTCATGGCCTGTCGGATTTCTTGCATCTGCTTCGAACCAACGTTGTCAACTCCTACGAGGAAGCATTTTGGATATTCATCAAACAGCTCGACCAGCTTCAAGAAATAGTTAGCCTTCCAGGTGGTTCTATCTTCCCTAACCATCGTGGTGAGTTAAGGATCGTGCCTTCACGTTTTAAAGACGAACTGAAAGATTGCGTTCTATGGTTGTTGTGATGGTGTACACTGCTAAACAAAACGCGACGCAAAGAAGCACCCCTAAAATCCGAGGATGCATATATGATCAGACATGTGATATGATAACAAGTAAATAAGTTCGTAACGAAAATTAATTATGGTAGTAGAAAACAATAAAAGCATAAAAATTAAACAAAACACAAAGTGAAAGCGATATAACCTCAGCCGCACCAAACCTACCGCAAAATTTAGGGAATCAAAAAGACCAGCCTTTTACGAGCAAGTCGTTGCAAAGACTGCTTGTTGATATGATACGCAGTCCACGCGCGTAGAAAGTTGACGCGCACGGATAGTTCTGGCGCGCTCTTTAAGTGAAAGAAATGACCCTGGTTTGAGTCTAAATCAAAGTTCTAAGGTAATCTTTCAATTTTTCAAAGATCATCGAAATTACTTCTATTGAAGCTGGTCAGCGAATTTGAAAGAAAAACTGAACTTTTTCAAACCACCAGAAACAAGTCTATAAAAATAATCTAACCATAATAAGAGCTTTGCTTGTGGTTGTGCGGTATGGCCACGGATTCTTCATCCTCGTCATTCGTCAAAATAGTTATGTTCAATTTCTTGGAGTTCTTCGTTGTTCACTATGAAGGATCTGCTTTGCAAACATCTTTAATCAAAAATCTGTTTTTATTTCCATGAAAACATCACTTGGCTTGCATGGTCACCATTAGACATTGAAAAACTCTTTCGTCTACAAAACTATTCAAGGAGCTACAATTAAGCGAGTAAACGCAATTACACCCTTTTAAGTTGTCGTGACTCTGAGATCAAACTGCGCAAGAAGTGTTTTCTCGTTGTCATTTTCAATGAACATTGATTTTTTCAGTTCTTGCTTTGACATATGGATGATGCGAGGTGCTCTAGTGAAGAGAATGAAAATCCTAATCATAACCTTGGGTTTACTGTATGTTCCCGTTTCTAATAGATGATGCTGTTTAGTTGCTTACCATCAAACTTGTAGAAAGAGCTGATTGATGAAATTCGGTCTACAAAGGAAAACAATCCAGGTATAGCCATACAGAGTTCCAATAGAAAGGCACGGTTTGGAGAGATCTTCAGGTATGTTCGTTTCTGCATGGCAAGATGATGATCAGGGAATTCGAGAAGCTAATCTTGAGTACCCGAGTGAAAGGTTTCTCAAGGAGGCTGAAAATGGGAATGTTGATGTTTTGAAAAGCATGTTGGAAAATGACCATCG